TAGTATTATTCTCATTTCTATTGCTTTTTCAATTTATTTCTTTGGATTAAGAATACATTGGATAATTTCATCCGCCTTTTCCTTGATTTTCCTGATAATTTGTTCAATTTTAGCTTTCACGGGCAAACGAAACATGTTTAGCTATGGAGTAGCAAGTGGTAACACTATAAGTCTATTCTTAGGTCTTAACAGTGTAGGATTATCATTGATTTGTCAATTTTCAGATAATTTAATTTTCTTCTCTCAAATATTATATTCAATTTGTTCTGAAATAACACAAATAATTTATATTTATAGTCGAAGCAAAATTTGGCTTATTGTTTTCGTAATCTTCGATATTCTCTTCATTATTTATGGAATAGTTCTGTTCCCAGATTTAAAGGCAAACAAGGAGAAAGAAAAATATGAATTAGATGCTATGACTACTCCAATAATTTGATTTTTAATAAATACTAAATCATTTTAAATATAATTAAATATTTTTTTGATCAATAAGTACAATTTATGTATGCTTTGATTCAAGTGCGTGAATATCAATAGTATATAAACAATAAAATATAAAATAACAACTATATAACTTGTCTATTTGGAAGATATGGGGATATCCAACGATGCATCATGGAGTGAAATATATTGCTTTATTGAGGAATCAAGCAAGTATTACCCTTGGACAGTACTAAATGAAATGTATACAGAGGAATTGTTGAGTTCCTAAGAAATAATAATTCATCAAACTTTCTTATATATATAATAATTTGTTATTGGAAGACTTAATTTGACAGAATGAAGTTTTTTACGGAAACTTTGATGGAGACCTTCATTAATTTGAAGGAATGAAATCAAATTTCATCAGTATGACAATAATTTCTGACGAACAATACTAATAAATTAACGATAATGAATATCAAACGCCAGAAACTAAAATTTTAAAATTTTTACTTAATAATTTTGACGAAATCATATTAATCTTGTTAAATCTACATAAACTTTACAATACAAATGTATGTCACTACATATCAATGATATGTTTTATCTTTTTGACAACAAAATTTCCGAACTCAAGAAAAATGAACGAATTACGTAAACGAAAATGTCTAATATTACATTATTAAGTGAATCTAAATCGATATTTCACAATAATACTCGTAATATGGATGAATATTTTGAAAATTCAAAAGATAATTTTTCTGAAAGAAATGAAAAAAAATCAAATTAAAATATAATTACAAATATGAAAATGATAAGAAAAATTTACTTGCAGGTGATGAATTTAGAATTGAACTTACAGAACCAACTAAGAAAACGATTCCAGATAAAAACAATGTTTGGGTTGTTTATTATACTGTATATAATCCTCCAGGTAATTCTGTGGAGATAAAATTTTATATTGATTCAGAATTAAAAAGAACAAAAAATACTAATCCAATTGCTAGAACATTTGATTCAGATGTATCGATTTATATTTCCGATTTAGATTATGGTGATCACATATTAACTGCACAAGCTAAGAGTGATAATCAATTAACTAATATTGATTCTGTTGTAAACGAAAACGATAAAAACGGTTTGACAGTAAAGTGACACTTTACATGGCAAAAATAGAGCCTTACTTTTGAGATACTTGAGATTGAAACTGAATCTTATGAGGCGGTGATCTTGAATCACTACCTCATAAGGTTCAGTTTCATATAAAATTTGTTGCAATTTGTTATTCTTTTGCAATTATTTCTTATAAGATTTTACATCTTTTAGCGGGGAATGTTTGTTATCATGTATATATTATAAATATCTACACGATAACGAACATTCCTCGCTAAATTGCTGAGAAACTTTGAGGAAATGTCGAACAATTTCCTCAAAGTTTCTCAGATTTATATAGATCACTAGAGTCCCCTAGGCACTGATTCTGGTTCAGTACCTAGGAGGCTCTAGTTCTTTAACGAACTGATAAAATGTTTTTAAATTTTTGGATATTGCTACCTGTGAAGCACTGACTTCAAGTCAGTACCTCACAGGTAGCAATTACATTGAAAGATGGGAGAAACTTTGTCCGAATGTTAAACTATTCGGACAAAGTTTCTCCCATTTGTAGTGGAGATGGAAGGCTTTGAGGTATATTGTATTAATATATACCCCAAAGCCTTCCATCTCCACTTGAAAGTGTCCAAACTTTGGGTTAATAGTTTGCAATTAACCCAAAGTTTGGACACTTTCTAGAAGGAATTGGAGGGTAAGAGATATACATTCATATGGTATATCTCTTACCCTCCAATTCCTTCTTAAAATGGGAGAAACTTTGTCCGAATGTTAAACTATTCGGACAAAGTTTCTCCCATTTTAAGAAGGAATTGGAGGCTATGAGATACTGATGAAATGTCAGTAACTCATGGCTTCCAATTCCTTCCTAAAACTCATAAAAGTGGACATTACATGCATATAAAATTTGACATGTAAAGTCCACTTTTTGCGAGCGGGGATTTGACGGAGTCAAATCCCCTTTTTCGTTTACGAGAATTCTTTAGAATTTGCAGTTGGATATTCAAATAAACTTACTCTATCTAATTTAGGTTTAAATCCAACAAAAATTATAAAGAACAGTGGTCAGACATTGACATTATCAGGAATTGCAAGTTATCCAAATGGAGAATCAACAGCTCTCATTAAATATTACTTCAACGAAGATAATAACACTCAAAATCAATACGAAGTTCAAGTCGATTCAAATGATGAAACTTTCACTAAACCAATCACTTTTCCAAATGATTTACCAGAGAACAATCACACAATTCATATTTATTTATTAAAAGATGGTTTTAATAGCAAAACATATAATCTTTCATTCGAATACATTTATAATCCATCAATTATCAGTATCACAACAGCTCCTAAGTCATCATACACAAAGAATACAGATTACAACATCTTTGTTACTTTATCTGTTTCAGATCGTGATGGCAATGAACTAATTGATATTTACTGCCAATTTGACAGTGAAACAGCAACTAAGAAGACATCACAATCAATAGTAGTCAATGAAATAAATACAAATTATGATTTTGATTTCACAGTTAAAATTCCATCATCATTCTCAGAAGGAACACATATAATTTATATTTGGGCTGTTGATTCTAATCAAAAAACTCAAATCATTTGCATTATCAATTTGATTTCAATTACAACACACCATCAATTTCTATAACAACAGAAAACAATCAACAAATTCGAAAAGGAATAAATAATCAAATTGAAATCAAAGGAAGTGTCACTGATCTTGATGGAAGTGGAACAGTTACAATAAATTACATTATTGATGACAATGGTTTAGAACGACTTGTTGAAAGAATAACAATTTATAATACATCATCTCATGAATTCAATAAAAACATCGATATTCCATCATACTTGAATGAAGGAATTCACAAAGTCACAATTTATTGTTATGATGAAAGTCTTAAGAAATCAAATGAAGAAAACATTAATTTCATATATATATTCAACAATCCATCTCTCATTGTCAACAAAGAACCTCTGTCTACATACCACAACAAAATTGATAGAAATATCACAGTCTCAGGAACATTCACAAACGAAAACAATGCAGAACATATTTACTTCTTCTATGTCATCGACAACAGTTCTCGACATAATATTGAAGATGTTACAATTACAAATGAACATGAATTCACATTTTTTGTTCCGTACCGAAAAGGGTCACTAGAAAAGTGACAAAAAGTGACACCTACTCTTATTTTCGCGCCAAAATTCGAAAGGGTTTTTAATATAATAATTATAATATATAAGGAATTTTATTAAAAATATGAAATTAAAATATAAAAAATTTAATAGTTAATTTAAGTTTGTTTTTTATTTTTATTTTAGAACTGTTTTCATAGGAATTAAAGGGTGAGAGGTATATAGTATGCCTATATACCTCGCACCCTTCAATTCAAACTCTAAATGGGAGAAACTTTGTTCGTATGTTATCTTATGAAAGCAAAGTTTCTCCCATTTAGAAAGTGAATAGGAGCCTACCAGGCACTAATACATAATCAGTGCTTTGTAGGCTCCTATTCCCTCGAGAAAGTTCGAAAACTTGGTCGCAATCAGATGCAATTGCGACCAAGTTTTCGAACTTTCTGGTAGGAATTGAAGGGTGAGAGGTATATAGTATGCCTATATGCCTCTCACTCTCAGATTACATTAACGTACATAAAAAAATATTTTTAGATTGATTTTTACTAACCTGAACCTCGGAGTAACGAGGTATTCGTAGATATGATGTAGACTATTGTTTTAAACTGTAAGCTCGGAAATTTTTGTTAGATAACTTAGCATTCGAAGTCACTTTTTGAACTTTCTGCGCAAAACTGTAGCCTCGGAGTACCGAGGTATTCGTAGATATGATGTAGGCTATTGTTTTAAGCGGTAAGCTCGGAAACTTTTGTTAGATAACTTATCATCCAAATCTACGATTTGCAATGAATCATCAGTAAGTAAATAGTTGTATTAAAAAGATGTAAATACGATAATATTAAGTGTTTATTCGTAATGATTTGAGAATTTGTTGAAAATTTATTGAACTTGCTCGAGATTTTCATTTTCTGAACTCGTCAATGCTTTCCTTAAGGTTTTTTAATTGACCGTCGACTATCTAGAATGGTTCTTGTTCTGGATTTCGATACCAGTGATCATCAATTTCACTGGCCTCGAATTCATTCGGCGTAAAGTAAACGTTCGTTTCAGGATTCACAGGCAAAGAAGAATGGGGCATATTATTGTAAAATCTGATGACCCGTGGAAGATCTGATTCTGACTTGCAGTTTCTTTCCACGTATGGCCACCATCTCTCAATCTTACCATTTGCCTGTGGATTGCCCGGTTGAATGAAAATATGCTCAATTCCACGTTCAACCAAAAGTTGATGAAATGAGCTTTTATTTTCAAGGCCGTTATCAGTCCAAATAGCGTATGGTGGTTGAGGTAGAGTACTTAATGCTCTTTTAAGAACTGCAGTTGTATTTTGAGCTGTTTTTTCGGTAAATAAATTAAAATCTATGATTTTTCGCGATCTGTCGTCTATTATCGCAAACAAATATTTGCCTATTCGTTTCCTCCAATAGTGGATATCAGCATGCCAAATTTGATGACATTTGGATGCTAGATAATTTCGAGGAATGTATTTTTGCTGATTTTCTTGATTTTGAGGGGGAGTATCTGCGATAATCGCTTCGTGTATTTTCCTGCCCATTCTATATGAGGGAGAATCGAAATTTTTTGTAATGTATGTTGCCGTTTGAAGAGATTCGCGTAATGGATTTATTTCAATAGGCGTACCTTCTATTGGAGTCACAACTGGAACTAAAGTTGTGCGGTCAACTTCATCGAGCCAGTTTCCAGACTCATAATTTATTTCTCCATTTTTTTGAATTTCTGATTGAATTTTTTGAAATTCTTCTGGATTCTTCTCAATATTGACAAGGTCTGTTTTCATTTTCTGAATAATTTTATTGATGCCTGCATCGGGCATTAAATCTTTCAAATTTGCATAAGCTTGGCAGGCATCAAGATTAATTTCTATTTGTTTTCTTCCTCTTTTTGGAATTAATTCCAAATTATTTTCTCTGACAAGCTTTTTGAACATGGTTTTGGATATTTCACGAAAGGTACCATTATTTAAACGGGCCTTTTTGCAAATATCCTTTAGCTTCATTCCAGAGTTAATTTGTTGAACCGATTCCTTTAGCCATTCGATGTCAACTAATTTTCTGGAGGTACGATGCCAGTGATATGGATCCATTTGAGTTTTGTAAAAGTTTACAAAAACTTCCATTCTGAAAAATAGTATGGATTTGATATAAAAAATAATATGTAATGGTGTAATATTGATTAAATAATAAAAATAAGTTTTTTTTAAAAAATAATTTTGGCGCCAAAAGTCACTTTTTCTAGCGACCCTTTTCGGTATGGTATATGAATTCACATTTTTTATTCCAACATCAGAAATCTTCGAAGAATACGATTCAGAGAGTAATCATACAATTTTTATTTGGATTGAAGACAGCTTCTTCAAAACATCATCAAACTACACTAAGACATCCGAATTTGTTTTCAATTCACCAATTGTTTCGGTTTCAACATATAATTTCAGCAGATTCCACAAGACAACAAACAAATTTATCAATATTGAGGGAAGTATCGAAGATTCGGACTGCACAGGTCATATCTCTATCTTTTACAAATTTGATGATTATCCATATTCAGAATTACATTCAGAATCCATGAACACAGAATGTATTATTTCATTTTCTAACGAAGTTGAATTTCCAACAGCATTTTCAGAATCTGTTCACAGTATCACAATTTATTGCTCAGATGAACACAACAAGAAATCAAACGAAGAACATATTTATTTTTATTATGAATACAATTCACCCGAACTCACAATCAACACATTCGAGAACGGTCCATATCATCGATGTTTGAACAAGAGTATTCATCTTGAAGGTCAGATTGTAGATCTTGATGGCACAGGTCTTGTCACTATTCGATGTTACATTGACAACGACATCATTGACACTAAAACTATTGAAATTTTAAATATTAATGAACATCCATTTTCCTTTGATCTAGAATTTCCATCAGAACTGACTGAATCATTACATCATCTTATAGTAACAGCAACTGATGAATCAAATAAAACATCTACTCCTTTTCGATCAGCTTTTCAATATTTTTATAATTCACCATTATTATCAATAACAACAAGAAATAATCAGACATTTGTCAAAGATGTCAATAAGAAGCTTTATATTGATGGTTTTGTTCAAGATTCAGATGAGCGAGGAACATTTACAATCAAATACAAACTTGATGAAGAAACATTTAATGATTTAACAACATTTTATATTTATGATAATAATCAACGTCCATTCACCGAATCAATTGGAATTGATTCTATTTCATGTGGATTTCATTCAATTTATCTTTATGTTGTTGATGATGATAATAAAACATCATCACATCAACCATTAACATTTTTTGTTATTCCTAACAGTCTGAAAGACAACAAACACAAGAACATCCTTTCGATTCCTAAAACAATTTATGCATTAACATTAACTATTTCAAAATCTTCTAAATAAAATCCCTGCTATTTTTTGTAATATTTAGCTGAAATCATGTTAAAACATCTGAATAATACGCTCATTTATTATGGTTATCAAATGTAATTCTATTGCATTTATTTCAATTTATTTATGATTATCAAAATATTTGCTTTTTCTTTCACAGGTAAAAAATCCATCAACTATATTAAATCAATGCCTCATCAAATCCATCAACATGATATTTAATTTTATTAATATTTAGATCCCAAATCAGCTTGTTAACATAGTTTGTTTTCACTTATCTATGTTAAAATTATTAATTATACTATAAAATCATATTTATTTAAATATTTTTTTATTAATATTTTATCAAATCGAAAGAACTCACATGATTTGAAGTGGAAAAATTACCCTTCTAATCAAATATTTTCCATATTATGTGTTTCCTCTTATGGTTAGTCAATGTTCGTTTTAAAATTTTATTGATTCCCTCAATTTTCGATTCTTATAAAATATTCAATGAGCCCATTGTAAATTTTACGGTTTGTTTTGCAAGAATTTAGATTCTACCTAAATACATCAAAACATATCTGACATTCAGATTTGCCTCAATTTTTTCATAAGAGATCCGCTGTCAGACAGATTGTCATTTGCCATTATTATGGGTATCATCCTCAACAAGCAACTTATGTATGCCGGAGTTGCATTTCTTGGCACCGTAGTCACTCATACTGCAGCGACAATGTAGAAAAGTATACTTGCTAGCAAAATCATTGAAGTAAATTACAGTACTTACTACTATTTTCCAATAGTATTCCTCGTTGAAATAATAGCAATTGTATTGTCCATTTGGATGTACAAAAAACTTGGAACTAGAATCAATTCAATAATAAACGGTATTTTAATCGCAATTGGTTTAATTATTGCGACATTCAATGCAGCCAACACTTCATATCTCGTTTATATTACTGGAACATTCATTGGTGTTGGATATATTATGTGTAATTTGATGAATCCATTATATATTTCTCATATTTCAATGTCAAATACAAGAAATTCATATGGAATATTCCATTTTATTGGTTTAGTAATTGGATCCATAAGTGGTTTTCGTATTGCAATATCTCCACATTGGAAAATTTTCTCATACGTTTATGCAGCCATCTCAATCATACAATCCATTCTTACTATCTTCATTCCTAACATGACTCCCGAAACTTCCGAAGAATTACAAGCTCCAAGAAACGTTAAACTTTGGTTCCATACAGCTGCATTAACGTTACTTCCATTTTTGTCTGGATTAAATGCAGTACCTAGGTACTGTGCTCCAATAGTACATGATCATTCAGTTGTTGATCAGGTTAACATAGTTAACATTGTTTTTTATGTATTAACGTTGATAACAATTATAACAATCATATTTACGATTTATTTCTTTGGATTAAGGAAGCATTGGATAGTTTCCTCTATTTTTGTATTAGTTTTCTTAATAATTGTTACAATATTAAATTTCATGAACAAATCTAACATATTTAGATTTATAATGGGAGATCTTTTTAATATAAGTATGAACTTGGGTTTAAGCAGCGTTGGCCTCTCTCTTATTTGTCAATTTTCAGATAATCTTATTTTCTTTTCTCAAATTCTTAACATTGTTTGCGAGTCTTTGATTGACACTATCCATATATTTCTCTTCAGTAAGATTTGGCTCATCATTTTTATTGTTTTTGGCATATTTACAATTGTATATGGCTTTACATTGTTCCCAGAACTAAAGAACATACAGGAAGAAGAAAAATCAAAGTCAGACAATCTGAATACTCCAATTATTTAAACAATTTTTTAGCGAATTTATTAGATTTTTTTAGATTTTTTTATCAAAATTTTTTCATTAATGAAACAATACATTCTATTTAAAGCGGTTTTAAGATTTTTCTCAATTTTTCAATATGGATCCAATGTCAGAAAAATGTATCGTTGTCAAATTTGACAATTATGGGAATCTTATTGAATAAGCAATTATATTATGTAGGAGTTGTATTCGTTGGATCAGCATTAAGTGCGATTGCAAATTGGAAGAGTGTTCCTAATTTTTTCTTTCAGGCCTCTCACTGAATCAATATATTTTAGCTGCTATAGTTTTACCAATAACCATCATCACACTTGTTTCCTCTATATTTACTTACAGGAAATTCGGAACAAAATTTATTTTAATTGCTGCAGGTATTTCAAATTCAATCGCTCTTGTATCAAAAGCTTCAATATCTAAGGATAACGTTTTTGCTGCTTTTGTTGTCATTGCCTTTCAATTGATAGCCGCAAATATCCATTTATTGATGAATCCTTTGTACATTTCGCATATTTCGCCAGAAAATACAAGAGATTCATACGGAATCCTTCATTTTGTTGGTATTATATTTGGAACATATATCGGAAACCATACATTATACACATCTCACAGAAAAATTTTTTTATACGTTTTTGCATCCATTTCTTTGATCCAAAGTATACTTATTTGGTTTATTCCGAACATAACTCCTGAAATAACAGCAAGATCAAACGCTTCTAAAGAGAAAAAATACATTTTTCATTCAATTCTCTTAATTTTAGCTCCATTAATAATCATTGTTGACATAGTCATATCAAATGCAACCCCAGAACACATATCTTCTTACAAAATAATCCAAGTTAATAATATTCTTCAAATAATTATTAGTATTATTCTCATTTCTATTGCTTTTTCAATTTATTTCTTTGGATTAAGAATACATTGGATAATTTCATCCGCCTTTTCCTTGATTTTCCTGATAATTTGTTCAATTTTAGCTTTCACGGGCAAACGAAACATGTTTAGCTATGGAGTAGCAAGTGGTAACACTATAAGTCTATTCTTAGGTCTTAACAGTGTAGGATTATCATTGATTTGTCAATTTTCAGATAATTTAATTTTCTTCTCTCAAATATTATATTCAATTTGTTCTGAAATAACACAAATAATTTATATTTATAGTCGAAGCAAAATTTGGCTTATTGTTTTCGTAATCTTCGATATTCTCTTCATTATTTATGGAATAGTTCTGTTCCCAGATTTAAAGGCAAACAAGGAGAAAGAAAAATATGAATTAGATGCTATGACTACTCCAATAATTTGATTTTTAATAAATACTAAATCATTTTAAATATAATTAAATATTTTTTTGATCAATAAGTACAATTTATGTATGCTTTGATTCAAGTGCGTGAATATCAATAGTATAAATACAATAAAATATAAAATAACAACTATATAACTTGTCTATTTGGAAGATATGGGGATATCCAACGATGCATCATGGAGTGAAATATATTGCTTTATTGAGGAATCAAGCAAGTATTACCCTTGGACAGTACTAAATGAAATGTATACAGAGGAATTGTTGAGTTCCTAAGAAATAATAATTCATCAAACTTTCTTATATATATAATAATTTGTTATTGGAAGACTTAATTTGACAGAATGAAGTTTTTTTACGGAAACTTTGATGGAGACCTTCATTAATTTGAAGGAATGAAATCAAATTTCATCAGTATGACAATAATTTCTGACGAACAATACTAATAAATTAACGATATTGAACGAATATCAAACGCCAGAAACTAAAATTTTAAAATTTTTACTTAATAATTTTGACGAAATCATATTAATCTTGTT